TTTCCTTATATGAACTGTAACTCAGTAAAATCGTTGAAATTGTTGCATGTTGCGCTTATATTTTTGTTCAGTTCCTTCGCAAAGTATTCAGACCCTGTGACCTTTTCCACATTTTATTACGTTACAGCCTTATTCTAAAATGGATGAAATATTTTTTTCTCAGCAATCTACACACAATACCCCAATTTTTGCAAATGTATAAAAAACTGAAATACCTTATTTACATAAGTATTCAGACCCTTTGCTATGATACTCAAAATTGAGCTCAGGTGCAGCCTGTTTCCATTGATCATCTTTGAGATTTTTCTACAACTTGATTGGAGTCAACCTGTGGTAAATTCAACTGATTGGACATGATTTGGACAGGCACACACCTGGCTATATAAGGTCCCACAATTGACAGTGCATGTCAGAGCAAAAACCAAGCCATGAGGTCGAAGGAATTGTCCGTAGAGCTCCGAGACAGGATTGTGTCAAGGCACAGATCTGGGGAAGGATACCAGAAAATGTCTGCAGCATTGAAGGTCCCCAAAAAAACAGTGGCCTCCATAATTCTTAAATGGAAGAAGTTTGGAACCGCCAAGACTCTTCCTAGAGCTGGCCGCCCAGCCAAACTGAGCAATTGGGGGAGAAGAGCCTTGGTCATGGAGGTGGCCAAGAACCTGATGGTCACTGACAGAGCTCTAGAGTTCCTCTGTGGAGATGGGAGAACCTTCCAGAAGGACAACCATCTCTGCATCACTCCACCAATCAGGCCTTTATGGTAGAGTGGCCAGACAGAAGCCACTCCTCAGTAAAAGGCACATGACAGCCCGCTTGGAGTTTGCCAAAAGGCACCTAAAGACTCTCAGACCATTAGAAACAAGATTCTCCGTTCTGATGAAACCATGATTGAACTCGTTGGCCTGAATGCCAAGCGTCACGTCTGCAGGAAACCTGGCACCGCTCATTACCTGGCCAGTATGAAAAATGTATGCACTCACTAACTGTAAGTCGGTCTGGATAAGAGCGTCTGCTAAATTACTCAAATGTAAATGTAAAATACCATCCCTACGGTGAAGCATGGTGGTGGCATCATCATGCTGTGGGGATGTCTTTCAGCGGCAGGGACTGGGAGACTAGTCAGGATCGATGCAAAGATGAACGGAGCAAAGTACAGAGAGATCCTTGATGAAAACCTGCTCCAGAGCGCTCAGGACCTCAGACTGGGGCGAAGGTTCACCTTCCAACAGGACAACGACCCTAAGCACACAGCCAAGACAACGCATGAGTGGCTTCGGGACAAGTCTCTGAATGTCCTTGCGTGGCCCAGCCAGAGCCTGGACTTGAACCCAATTGAAAATCTCTGGAGAGACCTGAAAATAGCTGTGCAGCGACGCTCCCCATCCAACCTGACAGAGCTTGAGAGGATCTGCAGAGAAGAATGGGAGAAACTCCCCAAATACATTTTTACATTTTACATTTTAGTCATTTAGCAGATGCTCCTATCCAGAGCGACTTACAGTTAGTGAGTGCATGCATGTTTTTTTGTTTTTGTTTTTCATACTGGCCCCCCGTGGGAATTGAACCCACAACCCTGGCGTTGCAAGCGCCATGCTCTACCAACTGAGCTACACGGGGCCAAGCTTGTAGCATCATACACAAGAAGACTCGAGGCTGTAATCGGTGGCAAAGGTGCTTCAACAAAGTACTAAGTAAAGGGTCTGAATACTAATGTAAATGTCATATTTCAGTTTCATTTTTTTCTTTTCATACATCTGCAAAAATATATATATGTTTTTGCTTTGTCATTATGGGGTGTTGTGTGCAGATTGATGAGGGGGGAAAAAAACGATTTAATAAATTTCAGAATAAGGCTGTAATAAGGCAATATGTGGAACAAGTGAAGGTGTCTGAATACTTTCCGAATGCGATGTAATACTGAATCTCATCTGGGCCAAGGTACAGGAAATATAATTACTTTGTATTCTCCCAAGTAGACAGATGGAGGATGCATAGCCTAACCATGCTCTTGGGAGCTCACCCTCTCACTATTATCATACTGTACCAACTAGCAATACTAATATCAAAAAGGCTACAGCATTAAAAAACAATATTTTTGTATTTTTTTCATTAACCCACTGTTGATGCAGTCCCAAAAATTATGATGATGTGGTCAGTGACACTTTGCTTCTTGAAAGTCCAATATCTTGAAAATGTGACTGCTGACATGCAAAACATTTTAGGACTGTATCAACAGTGGACTAATAATACAAATACAAAATAAATAGTTTTTGAGTGGAGTTCCCCTTTAAGCAGTAATAGTCTGTTGGTAGCTGGGGGAAATTGCTATATTATCTGTCCCCAGAGCTCCTCTGGGATATAATACTGTAGAAGCCTCATAGTGACAGTTCTCCTTGATTTTCACATGTCACTTCCAATACCAGACTTGTTGTCATTAAACGATCTTCATTTGTCCTGTGCAGGAGCCATGACAGTTGACTTGTCTGCAAAGCATGTATTTGAATAATTGGGATAAGACCTATGATTTCAAACATGAAGCATTCCCAGTCTGGCACGATACAAAATGGTGAGAGATCACATAAATACAAACAATTGTTAAGATACTATTGTTAAGATACATTAATTCATATATGGTGAATTATTGATAAGCCTATGGGCTTGTTACCTACAATCTTCATGTTTGCAATACAGCTCAATGGTAAGTACAAATCCTGCTTTTGGAATGGCAAACTCTTGATATTGTTTGCTTTGTGCAATCTAGTGAGCATGGTTGGGAATTACAGAGTTTTTACCAATATATTAGTAGCAGTACTGGATCAGAACAGGTGGTGTCGCTGTGTACATGCTGGGGAGACAATTGACACTGCTATCAGCATAAGTATATTTCTACATTCATCAATATACATTTTATGTTTTTTTACTTTGGAGAGAGTGTACATCTAAGAATAAATATTCATACACCTTACTCAAGACATTATTTTGAACCAGTTCCTATGGGGCAAAACATAATCAGAAACCCAATCAAAACAAGCTCTAAATGCATCCAACAAGTTTGTAGAGTCACAGACTTGATGTAGTCATTGCGTACTAGGAATTTGGGACCAAATACTAAACTTTTGATTACTTTAATACACTATACAGTGAGGGAAAAAAGTATTTGATCCCCTGCTGATTTTGTAAGTTTGCCCACTGACAAAGACATGATCAGTCTATAATTTTAATGGTAGGTTTATTTGAACAGTGAGAGACAGAATAACAACAAAAAAATCCAGAAAAACGCATGTCAAAAATGTTATAAATTGATTTGCATTTTAATGAGGGAAATAAGTATTTGACCCCCTTTCAATCAGAAAGATTTCTGGCTCCCAGGTGTCTTTTATACAGGTAACAAGCTGAGATTAGGAGCACACTCTTAAAGGGAGTGCTCCTAATCTCAGCGTGTTACCTGTATAAAAGACACCTGTCCACAGAAGCAATCAATCAATCAGATTCCAAACTCTCCACCTTGGCCAAGACCAAAGAGCTCTCCAAGGATGTCAGGGACAAGATTGTAGACCTACACAAGGCTGGAATGGGCTACAAGACCACCGCCAAACAGCTTGGTGAGAAGGTGACAACAGTTGGTGCGATTATTCGCAAATGGAAGAAACACAAAATAACTGTCAATCTCCATCTGCCTGGGGCTCCATGCAAGATCTCACCTCGTGGAGTTGCAATGATCATGAGAACGGTGAGGAATGAGCCCAGAACTACACGGGAGGATCTTTTCAATGATCTCAAGGCAGCTGGGACCATAGTCACCAAGAAAACAAGTGGTAACACACTACGCCGTGAAGGACTGAAATCCTGCAGCGCCCGCAAGGTCCCCCTGCTCAAGAAAGCACATATACAGGCCTGTCTGAAGTTTGCCAATGAACATCTGTATGATTCAGAGGAGAACTGGGTGAAAGTGTTGTGGTCAGATGAGACCAAAATCGAGCTCTTTGGCATCAACTCAACTCGCCATGTTTGGAGGAGGAGGAATGCTGCCTATGACCCCAAGAACACCATCCTCACCGTCAAACATGGAGGTGGAAACATTATGCTTTGGGGGTGTTTTTCTGCTAAGGGGACAGGACAACTTCACTGCATCAAAGGGACGATGGACGGGGCCATGTACCGTCAAATCTTGGGTGAGAACCTCCTTCCCTCAGCCAGGGCATTGAAAATGGGTCGTGGATGGGTATTCCAGCATGACAATGACCCAAAACACACGGCCAAGGCAACAAAGGAGTGGCTCAAGAAGAAGCACATTAAGGTCCTGGAGTGGCCTAGCCAGTCTCCAGACCTTAATCCCATAGAAAATCTGTGGAGGGAGCTGAAGGTTCGAGTTGCCAAACGTCAGCCTCGAAACCTTAATGACTTGGAGAAGATCTGCAAAGAGGAGTGGGACAAAATCCCTCCTGAGATGTGTGCAAACCTGGTGGCCAACAACAAGAAACGTCTGACCTCTGTGATTGCCAACAAGGGTTTTGCCACCAATTACTAAGTCATGTTTTGCAGAGGGGTCAAATACTTATTTCCCTCATTAAAATGCAAATCAATTTATAACATTTTTGACATGTGTCTTCTGGATTTTTTTGTTGTTATTCTGTCTCTCACTGTTCAAATAAACCTACCATTAAAATTATAGACTGATCATGTCTTTGTCAGTGGGCAAATGTACAAAATCAGCAGGGGATCAAATACTTTTTTCCCTCACTGTAAGTGAATTTGTCAAAATACTGATGACTTCTTCAAATGGGGGGACTGGATACATCAAGTGCTTTCATTTCTAAACGGTAAAACAGATATGTATGACAATACCCTCAGATAAAAGGTAACATTTAGTACTGCCGCCTCATGAAACATTTGATCTCAAATCCAAAATCGTGGAGTATAGAACTACAACCCCTGACATCTGGACTGAGCTGAAGGAACTGAGAATAGAGCTGAGGAACTTTGAGGCCAGACTGAAGGACAGCGAGGACCAGGCAGAGGAGCAACGGTTTGAGTTTAGGCTGACCAAGAAGGAGGTGGAGGAGATGAAGACAGAGAATGCAGCCCAAGAAGCTGAACTGTCAGCCATGGGGGCCAGAGTGACAGCCAGTGAGAGGGAGACTGAGGAGCAGATAAAGGAGGTGAGCGTCACTAAGACTGAACTGCAGTTCCAAAGGAACAAGGCGGAGGAGCTGGAGAGAGAATGCAACCCTGAAAGCCAGAGTGACAGCCAGTGAGAGAGAGGTGGAGGAGCTCAAGACAAATAACACAGCCAGACCAAAGGTGGCTTTCTCTGCTAGTTTGGCTAATTTAGGACATGTAGGACCCTTCAATACTGACATTACATTGGTCCACAGTAGACTCTTCACCAACATTGGCACGGCCTACAACCCAACTACAGGTATCTTTACAGCACCAGTGAGAGGAGTATACTACTTCACATTCACTGACTATGATCGCTGCACTCCGCCATACATGAGTGTATTCCACAGGAGGCTGCTGAGGGGAGGACGGCTCATAATAATGGCTGGAATGGAGTTAATGGAATGGTATCAAACACATGGGAGGACAGTCCATTACTATGAACCCGTCCTCCCCCATTAAGGTGCCACCGGCCGCCTGTGGTGTGTTCATGTACCACAATACCCGGAAAGTTATGTTTCATGACATATATGATTCTAATGGATAGGATGCACCTGCATCTAATGCATTGTCTTTAGCGCTAGAGAATGGGGATGTGGTCTACATACACCTCTCCACAAAGGCTACAGGCTCTATTGTGAAATTGATTCCCAAACCTCCTTCAGTGGCTTCCTGCTCTTTCCTATGTTAGGGGGGCACCATGCTGTAACGCTGTAATTAACAGCTATCTCATGTGAGCAGTTGTGGGGTTAAGATTTACCTCTATGCTTTTCTTTTTAAAGATTACATTCTTGGATGTGTTGTTTATACCAAAGTGAATAACAGAGCATTTATTTATTTTCCCTTACCTTTAATTGCAATTTCCCAATTTTTTAAAAACCTAGTTTAGCCCCATTATGTTGGATGTAGCTGCTGGATGCAGACTAATTCAAGGTGGTAATGAAGAAGAATGCTTCCTCTCTCTGCAGCTGTTATGAAGATGTCCGGTCCTTAGGCTCGTGGATGATAATCATGCAAGTCTGAGGAGACAGCAAATACACACACATGCACACACACACAGGCACACTATAATGGATGGATGCACAGTATGTACTTAGATGACAGATTCAATTAAGTCAAAACATTGACTGCAGCTGCTAAACCACACATTTCAGTATTTATTCAGCATGGGGTTATATTTTACCTCTCTTATTTGTGGGTTTTGTCATGGCTTAGCTTTGCAGTGTTACTGCAGTGCTTGCCTGCCTGCCTCCCCTCCTCTGGCTTCCATTGTGTGGGTGTGCACAGAGCTCGCTCCCTGGCCCTCACACTGAAAGGGCCCAACCATTCATCCTCCACACTGAAGCTCATTAGAACTCTATAGAAGCACAATTGTGAGCCCCACATTAGACACTTCCTCGCTGCTGCCACAGACACCACACAAAGTGCCAGTTTGCTGCTAAGCTAAGCGCATTGTCTTCTGATTCATAGAGTCTGGACCTCCATTCATGATATTAAGTTTGAGTGGTGGAATATCAATTGAGTGTGCAATGGCCCAGTATCTTTTTAAGAGACCAGGGACAGAAAGGAGCTCAGCTGGTCTGCACGGTGCTGAATCTCAACAGGACCATTGTGGAGCTCTGAATGGGGGTACCCCACTTTTTCTCTCCAATAGAGAGCAGAATGGACATCAAATGAATTCACAGGAACTTGTTTTCAGGGTATTTTCAAGAGCTGCGATCCCAATGGCTCAATTATACCTCCTTCCCTTGGAATGCTACCTTGGAATCTGTCCCATTAACAAGTTGTGAGTCCTAACGATGCTTTTCATGCCAAATATCAAGTCTTACAAGATTACAATCCGTGTACAATCCATTTGTTGATAAGCGTAGTCAATATCATCAAGGAAATAATCCTTGTTGTTACTGAGCAGAGTCATAGCCTTTTACCCCCTAGATTTATCCAAAGCGTTCAACACGGTTGATCATGAAAATTTATTTTCTAAATTGCATTATTACAGTTTTCATGATTTTATATAATTATGTTTATGATAGAGAACAATTTGTATATGCAAATGGTTGTGCATCTACCAGGGCCAAGATATCCTGTGGCATTCCACAGGGTTCGATCCTTGGACCTTTGTTATTCCTAATCTATATCAATGGCCTGATGATACCAACTTGATTTTATCACACAAGAATTTCGATTCACTAATTTTACATTTACATTTTCGTCATTTAGCAGACGCTCTTATCCAGAGCGACTTACAAATCAATGAAGCCAACTCAGGCATGGCAAAGTTTTCTGAATTGTTCCAGATAATCAAATGATCTTTAAATGTAAAATAAATCCAACTTTATTGTATTCATTGGTAAGAATAAGAAATATCGTTTTTTTTTTAAGAGCCAGAATCTCAATTGGTGGGAATAAAATGGACCAGGTTTAATTCACTAGATTCTTAGGTGTTGTAGTTGATGAAAAGTTATCTTGGAAAGATCATATGTAGCAAATTAGTATTATCAGAAAGATTAGTGGTTTGGTTCATCAGCCTTGCTTCCCAACATTATACTACAGCTTAAGTTACCCATATCTCAATTTCTGCAATATTGTCTGGGCCAGTACATATGCTTCCTACCTACACTAACTACTTGGCTCCATCTGCCCCTCTGTTTAAGAAACTCAATATATTGTCTATCTACAACATGAATATATTCCAATTATGCACCTTCATCTAAACCCTTCAATGGATTCTTCCAGATTAATTCCTAAATCTATGCATACAACACATGACACAGCAATAACCTTCACCCCCCACACTGCCGCACCTCACATAGTAAATGATTTAGCATATACAGCATATATGCTCTAGAATTCCTATCTTCACATTGCCAAAACGTCATCATCCCTCAATAACTTCAAGCGTAGACTGGGGGTCAGCCTGATGATCCAAACTACCCAGTAGTCTCCTCCATTTAGCCTAGCTCTCACTCACATACTCACATGCACACACACATAATCGAACATGTTTTTCTTGTATACTGAGTATATTATGTACATTTATACTTAGTATGTTCTGTTTAACTGATTGAACACTTTTTTTTTTTAAACTAATATTTGGGTTTCTGATTACTATTACTTTTGGGTTTCCAACCTCACCTGCACACCGTTTTTACCCGTTTTTTATCTGTACTGTTTGGTCTTTCACTTGTTTTCTTTGGTGCAAATAAATAAAACCTAAAACCCCAAACCCCAAAAATAATGAATTGTTTATCACTAAAACTGAACAATTCAAAGAAACAGACACATTGTATCATCAGTGTCTCAAACACCTTGCAGACAAAAACAACATTGCACTCATCTTGCAGGCAGTATCATCGGAGCTGCAGCGTAGTGTGCTCTATGATGTTTTTAATTTGCAAGGTCTACTTATTTAGAGATAAATAGTCCCACACTGCTGCCTGTGGCTCACTGTGTCATGAACAAATGGTTCCCGTACGCACCAGACAAAAGCCTAGGCCAGTATCACAAACAGCAGCCCATGTGGAGCATGTAAACACGCATTAGGTACACACAGAGGTAGAGAGCACAGCCTGAGCCCACTAACACCGCTCACACAAGACACTGCAGTCGCTTTTTCCACCAGTCTGGAGAATATAAAACCTCAAATCTGATTACAAGCAACCTTTGGCTCCCTGGCGGCCAGACAATGGGCCTAGCTGTCTGGGGCAATTTCCATGCCCAGCATGAGGTGTCCCCCGAACCGTGCACCCCCTCGCCTCGCTTGGCTTCGCCTGGACATGCTTGTTTACTGTTCCACAATTTAATTTCCTCCTTTTCCCCAGCTCATCTATTATGAGTCTGAGTATCATTAGCCGGAACAGTCAGCTTAGGGTTATATGATTACACATGATGCCAGCCACCCATTGGCTAATATATACCACACAAGCACACACACACACATATACATTCATGCTACACACATATCACAACTATTGCTAATACTGCACAATTTAAACACTTGCCCCCCAATCTCCCCTTCTCGGATACACGTGTAAATATTGCACTATAAATTGTGCCTTCCTGTATTATACTTATGCTAAAATGTTTATTCTATTCTACTGAGCCATTTACTGTATATCCTGTAAGGCTTTAACTGTGCCTCTGAAATGTAATAAATCTATAACAACATACCCGGGTTCGAGTTCCAGTTCGGCTACCCCTGAATCAGTGGAGGCTGCTGAAGGGAGGAAGGCCCATAATAATGGCTGGAACAGAGTCAATGGAATGGCATCAAACACATGGAAACCATGTTTTTGATGTATTTGATACCATTCCACTGATTCCGCTCCAGTCATTACCAAGAGCCCGTCCTCCCCAATTAAGGTGCCACCAACCTCCTGTGCCCTGAATTTGTTGTAATATTATATACAGCTGCTTGTCTGCCTTCTTCTCACATAACCACTTCATTTGGTATTTAGTATTTAAACTACACAGTACAGTAGGGAATATTTCTATCAATGTTGACCTCTTACAAAGTGTCTCCCTTTCGTCCACATCAGAACCTGACGTTACCTGCTGTAGATCCTTCACATAGCGTCTTTTTTGTGCATATTTCTGTGAAGCTGGATGGAAGGTATTTTTTAAAACAGACAGAATTTGGCAACCGGGGGCAGAGAAATGTTCTGTCTCAAGCAGGAACCAATAGGCCTGTCAAGTCTGTGAGTGACAAACCATAGTGGAGTAGGCCAACCAAGTCACTAAAAAGAGGAGGAAAGTGGTGGGCGAATACCACTTAGACCATTACAGAGGCAATCTGAAAGACATATTCATTGGTTTGAATTCATAGAGTAAGAAATGAAATATGAATGACCTGATTAATCGTTCATTCACAACATTCATATTCTGTATCTGGTGGTCAATTAAAGTTAAGTGTAATTGCGATCAAATTCCATTCTTGACCAGAAAACATGGAGAAAAATGTCATAAATTTTTTTAAATGGATATTTAAATTCTATGTCAAGTTTGCATGATATTACACAATCAGAATAATTATAAAATGATTAACTCTTGAAAAATAAAGATATGAGAAGGCAATGTACAGGATCACATTCTATGTAGGAATTCACTTTTTTTCTATTTGGTCATCGTGCATCAAAATTAATACGTAAACAGTGACCTAGATCAAACCAAACCAAATAATATTATTATGCATTGTGTGCGCAAATGAGCTGCAAACTATTTAATTGCCTCCATGCCTTTCTATGGGACACAATGGCTGCTCTAAGGTAGCTGCAGAAAAGAGAAAACTATTTACTGCAGGACTGAGAAATATGCTTGGTGCACGTTAAACTTTGGCCAGCAGTCCATTGTATCGGGTGTCTATCATTTAATAGGCAAGTTGACATAATGAATGGAGTCGGACCCACCTTCTGCCACTCCAGAATGCACCCAGTCTTATCTGAATTGAGAATCACATTAGAGCCTCTTAGCCAATCACGCGGCAGCCCTGTAGCAAAGTGCAGACCCTGGAGGAGAAGAGAAAGAGAGAATAGAAGAAGAGAGAGAGAGAGAGCTTTTCTTTTCCTGGGACTTTAATGAAGTTGGCCCTGGTCTGGGCAGTCTTGGAGGGATTATATCTCAAACTTGTGTCTCTTCTGTCACTTGGCCCTGTGACTGTTGAGACTGATGGGCTGTGCTGTGAGGTGAGTGAGGGAGCATTCCTTAGGGTCACAGTGAACGGGATGATCGCAGGTCAGAAGCAGAAGCAGAATATGGCGGCAGGATCACCTCCTACTCACCCAGGCTTTGGCACCTCTGGGAAGAGCTTCCTCATCGACAACCTGCTGCACTCTGCATTGCCATCCTCTTCCTCAACCTCTTCCTCATCCTCTTCCTCGCCCACCTCAAATGGACCAACAAGTGGGCTCTTCAACGGGCTCCCGACCGGCCCCCACAGGAGAACCTGGGGCCCTCAGCATGTTGTCTATGAGGGCCAGAGTAAAAACTGTGAACGAGTCAAAGACAGAGGGCTTCCTCCTCGGCCAAACTCAGGTACAATGGCATATAATACACTACATGATGATAGTATTGTATTATATTAGTGATTGTGAGATCTAGTGTGTAGGCCCTTGAAACCATACATGGGGAAAATGTGATTTGATTTTGTTTGGTGTTTACGATTTATATATACATATATATATATATATATATATATATATATATATATATATATATATATATATATATATATATATATATATATATATATATATTGTCTATTTAAAATTGATACGCTTTAGATTAGACCAAACCAGTTATTTTGATTCTGTGCTCTCCCTCGTGAAAATACATGCAACATGATTTGAAACATTTAGAATCAGTCTAAATGAAAATACAGAAAATACTTATTGTTCAGAACAAATCCTATTTATATAGATTTCTCATTAAAAAGACACAGTAAGGAAGTGTAACCACTTCATCCTATCAATTTATTCTTCCATGCCTTCAGTTCAAAATATCAGATACAAATTCCATTTGCTATATTACCATTTTGGTAACACTTTATTTGGATAGTCCATCTGCAGATGCTCCACTAACTATCAGTAACATTTCAACTAACCTTAATCCTTATTCTAAACCTAACTTATCAACATATAGTTTTGTTGATAGTATGACCATCTGTAGAGCATCTACATTTTAGTCATTTAGCAGATGCTCATATCCAGAGCGACTTACAGTTAGTGAGTGAATATATTTTTCATACTGGCCCCCTGTGGGAATCGAACCCACAACCCTGGCATTGCAAGCACCATGCTCTACCAACTGAGCTACATGGGAGGCTACAGATGGACTATCTAGAAAATAAAGTGTGACTGACATTTTCTTTATGTGTTTTACTTTTAACAAAGTAAATACAATTCAAAAAAATTAGAAACTTTATCTTATCTGCAGGTTATGATGTATATTTATTACAAATAATACCCATTCTAAAAGATAACACGTAGTTATACACATGGCAATAACGAAAGTCAAACATTTTAGTTTTTACATTTTAGTTGCTCCTCTAATGTTTACCGTTTGACTACCCAAAACATGCAATATGTAATGTTTTTATTGAATGAATGGATTTTGTTACCAGAGAAATGTATAAGCTTCCATCTCAAATCAAATCAAATTGTATTGGTCACGTACACATATTTAGCAATGTTATCGCGGGTGTAGCGAAATGCTTATGTTCCTAGCTCCAACAGTGCAGTAATACCAGACAATACAAAACAATACACGCAAATCCAAAAAAATTAAAAGAAAGGAATTAAGAAATAAAGAAATATTAGAACAAGCAACGTCAGAGTCCGGAATATAAATATATATGTATATGATCAGTATGAAAATGTATGCACTCACTAACTGTAAGTCGCTCTGGATAAGAGCGTCTGCTAAATGACTAAAATGTAAAATGTAAATTGTGTGTATAGACATTATGGACAGTATATGAATAGAAAAGGTGTGTACAGCAGAGGTTTTATAGGATATGCCTTGACTAGAATACAGTATATACACTGAGTGTATAAAACATTAGGAACACTTTCCTAATATTGAGTTGCACCCCCGTTTGCCCTCAGAACAGCCTCAATTCGTCGGGGCACTGACTTTATAAGGTGTTGAAAGCATTCCACGGGGATGCTGGCCCATGTTGACTCCAATGCTTCCCACAGTTGTGTCAAGTTGGCTGGATGTCCTTTGGGTGGTGGACCATTCTTGATGCACATGGGAAACTGTTGAGCGTGAAAAACCCAGCAACGTTGCAGTTCTTGACACACTCAAACCGGTGCACCTGGCACCTACTACCATACCCTGTTCAAAGGCACTTAAATATTTTGTATTGCCCATTCACCCTCTGAATGGCACACATACACAATCCATGTCTCAATTGTCTCAAGGCTTTGAAATCCTTCTTTAACCTGTCTCCTCCCCTTCATCTACACTGATTGAAGTGGATTTAAGGGATCATAGCTTTCACCTGGATTCACCTAATCAGTCTACGTCATGGAAAGAGCAGGTGTTCCTAATGTTTTGTACACTCAGTGTACATATGAAGTGGATAACATCCACCAGTAGTTATAAAGTGAGAGAGGCACTCTTAACTGCACCATTAAGTATCTCTCCTATTCCCTTTGAGCAACTGTACAGAATAATGGAACATGTGGGGAAAATCTACCAGGAAACTCCAGTATATAAAATCCAGTATAATTAAGTGTGTGGGGCTGGGGGAAGTAATACAATCCACTTAAAGAGATCCTGTCTTTCACCTTATATGTCTCTCTGCCCATGTTATTTTTTACTTTAACTCTTCCCCTCTCTCCCTATTCTCTCTCCCTTTCCCCCATATCTCTCTCTCCCCCCCTCTCTCTCTCCCTCCTTCCCCCCTCTCCCTCTCTCTCTCTCCTCTCTGCAGGCCTGTTGAGCAGTGTGTTTCTGCGGGGCCCTCAGTACGTGCTGGCAGCAGTGTGCTGTGGTGGGTCCAGCCCTCCACCTGTCTTCTCCAGTGAGTGTTTAATACTTCATCAGCGATGCCTCAGCCCCTCTCTCAGCATTAACAGCAGGGTCTCCCATACTCTCTACGGCTAATTACTGATGCAATGCCAAGCAGCTAATTCTCCACTCAACTCTCTGCACTGCTATTCATGACCATTCACGGCTATTTAGACCATTTAGGGGTGGGGTGGGAAGGAGGTTGTGGAGCGGGAGGGGGGGTGCATTTATGGGCATTGAGGCCCCCATTTGCACTCATATAGATACGCACACTGGTTCACTCAAATATGCAGAGCATCTCGTCTCTGTTAGATTAGGACTGTAATGACTAGTGGTATGCCACTGTAACATCCTGTTATTGGTCTCTGTGTGACATTCGTATTGCTTTCAGTGAGCTGAGCCTCAGCACATAGGACCGTTTGGCTGATAGTTGGTCCAACTGTGATAATTGAATCAGTGTGACCAAACTGCTAATGTTCCAACCTGCCAAAGGAGGGGATTGTTTGTGTTTATGAGGCTCTTAAAATGATTTAGTGTAGCTGATTATCAGAAAACATTTCCATGAAACCAGCATCTATATGGATTTGAGTTGTGTTATGTAATTGGATTTATTGTATAATCTGTATTAACCTTTCATAGTGAAAGTCTCATGATGAGGGAAGCATTGATTTCTCCTAACTTCTGTCAGGGTTGTGATGCTAGTTGCTAGGTCCTTTGACTCCTGACAAGTGAGGCAGCAAATATAATCCCTCAGTAGACCCCCCCCCCGGTTCCCTGAACCCTCTTAGTGGGCTGACACTTTCCCACAGTGCCCAGCAACAGGACAATGCCATGCCCAGCCGTGACCAATCAGCACTTTCACTCCCCCATCCACACACGACCCCGCTGCAATTTTTCACCGCAGCAATGAACTCTACAAAGCACAAAAACACAGAAAACAGCTATTCCTCTGCAGAAAGGGGGCTGCCCACTAGCTCTTTGTGTGGACACAGAACCCAGCTCCTCAACTCCCTCCTTTCTCCTGTCACCTCACTCTCATTCCTGTCCATTTAAAGCCCCCTGACTGGAACATAAAACACTCAATGTAAGTGTATAGACTTATTCGAGCTCATCTTCCCATAGAACCGGGCCCATACCTGCAAGAGAAAATATTTAGTGAGGAGCGCTGAGCCAGTGAGTTGTGTTCTTTCAATGAACAGCCTTTTTGGCAGGTCCCTCAGGGTTGTGCACTCAGACCAAGAGAGGGGGGACACACACGTAGCCCCCGGGAGTGACCTGTTAATCGTCCATTTAAGTGGAAGCAATTGAGGCCTGAGGAGCGCATCTAAACCGGTTACTCGCACCCCAGAGGTGGTCTGGTGGTCTGGTGGTCTGTGTGCAGATTTGTCGTGCACCCCAGAGGTGGTCTGTGTGCAGATTAAAAAGGCATTGCTCAATGGGATTTGGTAAAATGTTCCACTTGACTCTTGTTGTGCGTGAGTGAGGCAGCGTGGGATTGCTCTTCACCAAATCTCTTTCTCCCTGGTGAAAACTGGTCTCCATTCTCTCTTTAGTCACCCTCATTTTGTTAAATTAGACAGATTGAAGCAAAGTAAGTAGTGGAGAGTAAGTGTGTATAAGATTGACAGAAAATGGACACAATCCATGTAGATAGTGAGTGAGGAAGTAAGCCAGTTAGTAGATGAGTGAGTCTGCCTTTTACACTGAACAAAAATATTTATCTCAAATTGTGTGCACAAATTAGTTTATATCCTTGTTTGAGCGAGTGTGCAATTGACATGCTGACTGCAGGAATGTCCACCAGAGCTGTTGCCAGATAATTTAATGTTAATTTCTCCAACGTCATTTTAGAGAATTTGGCAGTATGTCCAACCGCCTCACAACCGCGGACCACATGTTTGGAGTCATGTGGGCGAGCGGTTTGCTGACGTCAACGTTGTGAACAAAGTGCCCCATGGTGGCAGTGGGGTTATGGTATGGGCAGGCATAAGCTACAGACAACAAACACAATTGCATTTTATCAATGGCAATTTGAATGCACAGAGATACCGTGACGACATCCTGAGGCCCATTGTGAGGCCCATTTTTTAAAGGTATCTGTGACCAACTGGGGGCTCCCGAGTGGCGCAGCAGTCTAAGGCACTGCATCTCAATGCTAGAGGTGTCACTACAGACCCTGGTTTAATTCCAGGCTGTATCACAATCCGGCTGTGATTGGGAGTCCCATAGGGCGGCGCACAATTGGCCCGGGGTAGGCCTTCATTGTAAATAAGAATTTGTTCTTAACTGACTTGCCTAGTTAAATAAAGGTTAAATAAAAAAAAATATAAAAAAAATATCTGTATTCCCAGTCATGTGAAAGCCATAGATTAGGTAGGGCCTAATTAATGTATTTCAATTGACTGATTTACTCATATGAACTGTAACTCAGTAAAATCTTTGAAAAATGTTGCATACTGCGTAACATTTTTTGTTAAGTATATAATCAGTATGACGATGTATTCAGTGCTTTGGACTGGACTGGATATGATAGCCAGAGTAATAATGCATTTGAATACCAATCTGAGCAGATCATTTGCCCATTCATTAATTTGGATGATTTTCTATTTCAGTCCACAAAATGCTTTCTTGTTATTGACTTCATTCACATTACATACATTTCCATATTAAAATATTGGTATTTGTATCTTTAGTAGGGCAATGTGCCATTGCATTCATGCAACAGAGAACATCCATAATAACACAATGCAATAAATTACATTTGCCTTTCCTCAAGTCAGGTTATTTTTAGCTGGAATACAAACATTAATATGAATGATTCTGACCTCTGACCTTCCAGAGGGAGCCAATATTCTGATGTGGTCCCCGGATACGAGTCCCAAATCCCGGCGAGGGATCCTGAGGAGGGCGGTGTTCTCTGAGGAACAGAGGAAGGAGCTGGAGAAAACATTCAAAAAACAGAAGTACATCAGCAAGACAGACAGGAACAAACTGGCAGCAGATCTCAGCCTGAAGGAATCCCAGGTAGGATACCATATGCTGTATCTACAGTCTAGGTCGGAGATCACCATTACAACCCCATTTTACATCCCATGCTACATCATATTTTTTCTCATCTCACCTCCTCATTGCATGCAAACACATCTTACTGGGTCTTACTTGGGTGCTCCAGCCTAGATTTAGTAAATATCTAGAGTCACTTCTATTGTAAGTGTCCCTCATCTTAAAATGTTATTACAATACTGCGATCACTACTGTGATAATTGTAAGAAGTAGACCAAGATGTCATACGCTCTAAGCTTTTGTCTAAAGTGCTGGGAAAGTGGTCAACATTTCAGTTGTTTGTAAAAGTTGACAGAAAATGTAGTTGAGGCGGTTACTAAAACAGCTGTAACGTTTGATTGGTAGAAGATATTTCTGTCTGATTTTACATTTGAAAAGCAGAGAAGTAGACTAAGATTGCATATGCTCTAAGTGTTTGTCTAAATTGACTTCTTACCTGTAGAGAATTATAATTGTGGCACTTCAAACAGACTGAGTTAACAGAGATAATGCTCCCTGCTGTATCATAGACTTAGATTTGACTAAACAAAACGACTGGCACCTCAATATGAACCTCTCACTGACCTGTGTGTCTACTGTAGGTGAAGATCTGGTTTCAGAACCGGAGGATGAAGTGGAGGAACTGTAAGGAGAAGGAGGCCCACAGCGGCCGCTCCCCCATGGAGGAGCTCATGTCCCGGGGCTGCAACCAGGAAGAGGAACGCAAGGGGGCACCAGAGAGCACGGGCACGCCATCAGACATCTCACCATCACAGCAGCGGGACACGGACACAGGAGTTACCACAGAGAAAGAGCCATGCAAGGAACCTGTGACTTTGCTACAGCCACTGAGTCCGCACAGACACATTATGACCTCTGACTGCTGAGAGGATGAGCGACTGAGAGAAAGATGAGCCTTAGTGTTGTGATGCATGAATGAAAAGGGACTGTCTGACCATTGGATAAAACGACTAACCCTCCATAACAACAAAATACTTGTCATTTTAATATTGTGTGGATTGCTATTGTGTAGTAACATTTTGTAGACTGATTACAAGTGTTGTTGAATGTGTTTTGGAAAGTGTTTTTGAATAATCAATACAAATCTCAAAAACAAAACTTTTATTGTACCATACACTGTACATAAACACACATTGCAGGTTAGTCAGCGACACACAACCATGTATAAATGCTTTAACATGTAAGACTGTATTCAGAATGTTTTTTTTCTTCCCCTTTTAACTGAAACAATTGTTGTAAATAAAATGATTCATTAAATACTGATTTCTTCATTCCATGTTAATATTCAAGATGTTGAGCATGCAATAGTAAGACAAGACAAACGTAATAAGTTAAAGTATTTAAAGGCCCAATGCAGCCACTTTTATCTCAATATCAAATAATTTCTGGGTAACAATTAAGTACCTTACTGTTATTAATTAAAATGGTAAAAAATAAACAACAATAGCTTCTTAGCAAAGAGCAATTTCTGAAGCAAGAATTTTGCTAGGACTGAGTGAGGGGCCTAATCGGACGAGCCTAATGGGAGGGATATGTAACCTGAAAACAAGCTGTTATTGGCAGAGAGGTTTGAAACTCTTTGTTATTGGTCTATTAACTTATGCTGTCTGGTGATGTCACCAGGCAGGCCAAAACTCCATCTGACCAAAACAGGCTGAAATTTCAGGAGGTCTTTTCAACCAGCTCTTACACTTAAACAACATTATAATTTTCACAGTATTTTTCCAACCTCATAGTGTGGAAACATATATAAAACACAAGAAAATCACGTTTTTGGCCGTACTGGCCCTTTATTATTCACAAAAGAATACAGTACATCAATAAAGATTGTGCTTGCAACGAAGGACCTCGGGGACAATGTCAAATAAATGACATATTACAAATATGCAATGCCAAATAAATGTAACAGTGTACAAATCAACTATGGCGAATGCCAGATGTTATGCTGGAACTGTGTTGTTTGTAAGACAATTTCCTTTTTGGTCTTTGTATATATAGTTTTGTCTTTGTCTTTTCATCAGCCATTCACTATATGGACATCCTGCACTTGTGAATAAACCATTCTTCATTCACCTACTTGGCTGTAAGGTTCCGGCTATTTTAAATGCTGTATGAATCATAGATAGAATAACCAACACTAATTCAATAGAAATAGGGTAAATATTGACATTTTATTATCATATCATTTTCACTCACTTAACAGAAAAATCCAACATACAAAACACATAAATACGGCATTATCTAAATAGAAAATAATACTCTTTAGAAATAATTTACATTTAGCTATGACTATGTACAGTTTTTAGAGTGCATTCTATTACTGTGTGCTATAGCTGAGCTACTATGAGGGAGCAGAGGGCAACAGAGGGTCAATGAGGGAGTCCAGCTCTAACACTGTGCTTCTCTACCCTCTGACATCAAGTCAGTAACGTCAGAAAACATCATATACTCAACCGGCCTTATATTCAAAATGTTCCATTCTGAGAACACAAACTGTATCTTGAGTCCAGTCCTGTAAGGACGCCATTCTAAGCAACACAGATTCAACAGAGATCATATTTTTCATTCTATCACTCCTATCATCCAGTCACTCAACACTTGTGGTGCTTCCACTTGCGCGTAGCTATTGTGATGCTGTTGTTCTTCTTGTGCCAGGGGAAGAGGCGGGTGAGGGCCAGGGTGCCATCGGGCTGCACGGCGCCAGTCAGCAGGTAGAGCTGGGCGCGGCCGGGCCGGACCAGTACGTTGGCACAGGGCAGGTTGATGAGCAGCCACTGCTGGAGGAGGTGCTGGGTGTCGTAGGGAAGCAGGGGGCCCTGGCGGATAAACTCTACCCGGCCCTCCACCTCAAACTCTGGCTCCCCTGAGGGCAGGCGCCGGCGAGACAGCTTGGCTGTTACAGCTGAGGGAAGAGAGAGGAGAGAAGGTGAGTATGCTAGCTTAGACAGAACTACACACATATGTATGGTACAAATACACACTAATAAACCTGCATAACATACTAATCAATGCAAACACACATACATACAGTACATTATTGCACATGCTTACCAAAATCATCCTGGCACAGGGCGTCCAGAACTGTCTTCAGTGAAGGGTGCTCCTCCACGGAAGGACATGCTTGGCATGCAGGCTTAGGCAATGCTTTGGCGAGGTGGCTGTTGCTGTGTTTGGGGTGGGGGGTCAGGCACATGTCCTCCTGGGTAGGGAAGCGGTCACAGTCCAGCGCCTCTGGCCAGACATGGCCCTGACAGGCCAGTACTGGGGCACAGTTGTCCCTGACGGCCACACACAGGCTACGGCACGGCTGGATAAACCTGGAGATGGAGAGACAGACACAGGGTTAGGTTCAAAACACAGTGGACACTGTGTGGAAATGATAGGAATGTTCCATTGTAAACACACTGAGGGTAAAAATGAAGTGATGAAGGAGCGGATTGTTCCCTCTTGAGAAGGAGTTAGCAGTGGGAAGTTCTCAAGGGGAAGGAAATAGGGAGACTCAAACAGAGAGAAAGAACAGGCAGATTGACAGAGAAGGAAGAGAGCAGCATAGTATGGAGAGAGAGAGAGAGAGAGAGAGAGAGAGAGAGAGAGAGAGAGAGAGAGCGAGAGAGAGATAGATAGATAGATAGAGACACAGACAGACAGACACACAGGAAGATAGAAGAGGACAGGTAAAAGGAAAACTAAAGCTATAGACTTACGCGTCGAGGCAGACAGGGGCGATGAGGGAGCAGAGGAAGGCCTGGGCCTGGGGATGGCAGCCGGTCTGCAGCAGGGGTCTCCAGTCCTCCGAACGGGGAACCACCTCGCCCTCCAGGCTGCTGTGCCCCAGCAAGTTAGGCAGCCTCATCTCCGAATAGCCCACGTCCTGGCACACACTCATCTGGTGGGGGATGGGCACGCAGCGGGTCGACTGGCCCAGGTCAAAGCCCCAGGCTGGGGGCAGGAGAACCAGGAGAGTCAGGGTGAAGGAGAAGAGATCCATAGTGAAGAGAAACAAAGTCCTGACTGAGAATCCAAGGAAGGAGAAGACAGGTGCTGCTGTTGCTTGTTGCTGTAGGAGAGGTAATGTCTCTCTGTGCCAGTGGTCCCCCTCTATATATACAGCCAGCCCAGCCCCATCAGACTGTTATCAACTACCTATCAAAGAGGCTGAGACGACGTGTGAGAGGAGACAACGGCTGGTTTTGTGATGACTGCAGACAGAGAGGGGGTAATAGGTGAATGGAGGCGGGGGGCATTATGAGAGCAATCACAGCCAAGGCATTGCAATGCAAAACTATCAGTCTCCAAGGCTTATTTTCTCCATTAAATCCATTGACTTCTACATTAGAAATACCTCCTGCTGTTTAGTTCACATACGCCACTTTGCTGAGCAGTTATGTATTCATGTATTTGCACTTTTTTCTTGTGAGCCATTGTTTTGAGTACACTGCTGTAATGACAGAAGTACATGAAACACACCTTAATATTTGAGACAAAGTTCTGAAACATTGACTGGTTATTAAATTTGACGTGAAAATATTTTACACAGTAGGCTTATTTCTTCTGCATAGACAGACAGGCAGTCTCCTCAATATTGAGTCTCTTTCATGTCTCCTCCTTTGCTAATTTGAGGGTTTCCTGAGAAGAAGGGTCCTGATCAGAGCCCAGCCCTGATCACACTCCCATTAGCAGAGTCGTGTTTCTGTCTGGCTCAACGGGCTTTGATGTGACCCTAGATTACAGTCTGATGCACATGCTAAATGCTACAACAGCAAGCTACAGCTCTGTCTACCTACTGTAGCAATCTGATCAAACTTGACTGCAGCACAGACAGTCATAGTTTTATTTCACCTTTATTTAATCAGGTAAGCCAGTTGAGAACAAGTTCTCATTTACAACTTCGACCTGGCCAAGATAAAGCAAAGCAGTGCGATACAAACAACAACACAGAGTTACATATGGGGTAAAACAAAACATAAAGTCAAAAATACAACAGAAAATATATATACAGTGTGTGCAAATGTAGTAAGTTATGGAGGTAAGGCAGTAAATAGGCCATATAACGACATACACTCCCCTCCATATTTATTTGAAACACAACCAAAACAAACTGCAAATGCATCCAACAAGTTTGTAGACCCACTGGCTCCAGGTCATCTATAAAATCTCTGCTAGGCAAATCCCTGCCTTATCTTAGCTCATTGGTCACCATAGCAACACCCACCCGTAGTATGCGCTCCAGCAGGTATATCTCACTGGTCATCCCCAAAGCCAACACCTCCTTTGGCCGCCATTCCTTCCAGTTCTCTGCTGCAAATGACTGGAACGAACTGCAAAAATCTCTGAAGCTGGAGACACTTATCTCCCTCACTTACTTTAAGCATTAGTTGTCAGAGCAGCTTACCGATCACTGCACCTGTACACAGCCCATCTGTAATTAGCCCACCTACCTCATCCCCATATTGTTAATTATTTTGCTAATTTGCACCCCAGTATCTCTATTTGCACATCTATCACTCCAGTGTTAATACAAAATTGTAATTATTTTGCACTATGGCCTATTTATTGCCTTACCTCCATAACTTACTACATTTGCACACACTGTATATAGATTTCCTATTGTGTTTTTGACTGTACGTTTTGTTTATCCCATGTGTAACTCTGTGTTGTTGTTGTTTTTATCGCAGTGCTTTGCTTTATCTTGGCCAGGTCGCAGTTGTAAATGAGAACTTGTTCTCAACTGGCTTACCTGGTTAAATAAAGGTAAAAAATTAATAAATAAAAAAAGAGTCACAAGCTTGATGTAGTCATTGCATGCTAGGAATATGGGACCAAATAATACACTTTTGACTACTTTAATACACTATAAGTTCATTTACTAGATACATGAAGGGATTTCATTTCTAAAGGTAAAAAAATATATGTATGAAAATATACCCTCAAATAAAAGGTGACATTCTGAACTGTCGCCTCATATAAAACATTTGATCTCAAATCCAAAATGCTGGAGTATATTCTCAAATTTTAGCTCCACGTTCCAAATAAATACAGAGTGGAGTGTAAATCTTGTACAATTTCTCTTGGCAATTATTTACACTTTCAAATCATAGAGCCAACTTCACTATTTTACTTTTAAAAAGCTTGTGCAAAAATTAACTACATATTTTCTTACTTTTTCTGCTTTATATGGCACTTTAGGGCAGTGGTTCCCAACTCCTGTCCTCAAGTACCCTCAACAGTAAACATTTTTATTGTAGTCCCTGACAAGCACTACATTAGGGTATAAAAACAATTCAAGCAATTCCTGGAGAAGGATTGATTATATTAATTACCACAGAAAAAGTATTTCAATACAGTTTGGGAGGAACACTGTGTCATATTGGCAGCAGACAGCCACAGGATGCTCCTACCCTCTCATCAGACAATTAGAAGAGATCTCACACTGGGATGCATACTGGTGGTCCAGGCTCCGCTTCTAATGACAGTCTGGTTCTCTCACTCCCTCCGTCTCTCACAAGCTTTTAATGGCATCACAAAAGTAAAGCACAGTTGATAAGTAACTCAATTCAATTGTTGTGTGGAATATGTCTGCCTCCACAACCACGTTCAGATGTGTATCTCTGATGGGCTTGGCCCAGAGGGCTTGAGTCAGTAATAGGGCTTGGTCTAGGACTAGTGGCAGAGGCTGAGGCTGTAGAAGTGCTAGGCAAGCCAATCTAAGCCCCAGGGCCTATATTCATAAAGCGTCTCGGAGTAGGAGTGCTGATGTAGGATCGTATTCCTTACGATATTAAATGCAAAACTGATCCTAGAGCAGTACTCCTGAGACTCTTTATGAATATAGGCCCAGTCTGGCTGGCCCCTTTCTCTCCCACAGCCTTCAGTCTCCAGTCAGAGCTCCATTGGCCCCAGCCAAGCGACACTCTTGTAAGGCTTTACTGCCTGCCCAGCCCCAGTCTGATCTGAGCCGGGGCCCTGGGTTCAGACGATGAGAGCTACTGAGGGGCCTAACTGGGCAATTAGAGTCACAGACCAATTTGTCAGAACAATAGTGCCATACGTTTAACAAGCTCCCTCTGCCATTATCCCAGCAGGGGACAGTTTTTCTTTCTAACGGCCCCCCTGCCTATCTGTAGACGCTGTGTTTGTGTTGGTAATGTGTGGCCTGCCCCTAGCTGCCTACTAATGGGGACTACGGTTCTTTTGGGCACCTGTCTATCAAAGACCAGTGTGGAGTCACAGGGGCACACTCCCACACAGACAGATATGTTCACTGTAAAACTACATTGGACAAGCTAACATACTAGTCTCTGTGTTAATGGTCATCTTATTCTAGGTGCATCCACCTATATCATCGTGGTGTGTCAACACCTGCATGGTTTTATTGTACAAAAGGTGTTCAGACAAACTGGTCATTGAATCAGTACCGCACTAGCGGAATGAGCTCTGTACACTGCCAACCACTTCTCTGCTGTTAAACCTATATGTCCATGTCAGCAAGTTCTCATTTATGAATATGGCAACACCTCTCACTTGGCAAGCAAAAAGAATGACAAATCAAAAACTCCAATATTTGTATTTAAATACTAAATAATAGTACTTGGAGCTGTGGATCATTTGTAGGTCTGTTAGCTTGGCTATCCTGAGAGTAGTCAGTCAGCATGTTGCCCCTTCCATATAGAATGCCTAAAGCATGGGAGTAAGTGGTCCCGAGTGGCACAGTGGTCTAAGGCAGTGCTTGAGGTGTCACTACAGACCCCCTGGTTCGATTCCAGGCTGTATCACAACCGGCCGTGATTGGGAGTCCCATAGGGCGGCGCACAATCGGCCCAGCGTCATCCGGTGTAGGCCGTCATTGTAAATAAGAATTTGTTCTTAACTGACTTGCCTAGTTAAATTTAAAAAATGGTTGTCTTTTCCACCCGCATGTAGTCAACACAACCTCTTAGCAAGGTTATTATAGAAAACGAAAACTAATACAAAAACTAAATCATGAAAAAACAAGTTAGTCAACCAAAATAAAATAATTAACAAACCAGTTTGAAAAACTAAAACTTCACTCAAACTAGTATTGTTGATGGGGAGGGGGGGGGGGGGGGCAATTCCTTTTAAATCCAAGTCACAGAGACTATCATTTAAACCAAACCTATGATCTGACCCATCACTATGTATTACTTCCCCCCCAGTTGCAAGAAGTGATATCCCAAAAAACAAAACAAAAACACTATACAACACAAATGTCCCCTAGGCTCCCAGGCATGTTTTCTGTCCCATGAAATATAAATAAACAAACTGAAACTAAACTTAAAAACAAATATAAACACACAAAACTAATAACCCTGCCTCTTAGGTTCCTGGTTGTTGTCATATTTAGCCTGCTGGCAGTGAAGGGAGACCTTTCTATTGAGTGACTATTATTTTTAAGTGTCTCAGACACTTTTGAGCAACGTGAGTAATAGCATAAACTAGGCTGCAGGAGACAGTGTGTCTAAACACCTCGGTGGGGCAGGCAGGCAGTGTCTGTCTGTGTCTGCCTACAGGTCCACCCGGAGACTGGATCTGACAACTGAGTGCTACTGACAGGCCGACTCTCCTGTGACAGTCAGCCCTGGTGGAGCCCAGCGAGAGAGTAGAGGAGAGGGGGTGGTGGTGGGACTGAATCACAATAGGACTCTAATGAGTAGGGAGGAGACAGCTTTTATTTGAATGTGCCGCACTGCCAGGGAGCCTCAGACCCTGTTTACCTAAGGAGCTCTTTGATGTGGGACTCAGGTGCCATGGTGCGATACCAGTCCCTCTAACTCATGATAGGTTTCTCACAGGTAGTCACTGGCACCAGTCCTCTTGTATTATAACAGTATGTTTCTAAAGCACACCTTTGGAAGTGTTGCTAGATATAGACTCATTGTCAATACAACACTGATCTAGCTAGCCCTCACCTGGAACAAGAGGTCATTTATTTCGATGTATTAGGATAGGTGTCAATTACATCTACAATTCAGTCAATTCAGCAAGTGAAGTGATATACAACTCGTACAAAAGTGACACAATGTTTTATTTTATTTTATATTTCAGAATGTATTCCCTGAATTGAAAAAGGAATGGACCAGAGACCCTGTAAAGGGAGAAATTGAGTAGGACAGAGGAAGGATGGGAATGTTACCGTGGACAAGATGATGACCAGGAACTCCTGTCCCTGGAACTCCTCCACAGAGCCCAGCTTGATGTTAGACAGGCCCACCCTGTGAAGCAGCACATGTATCTTCTCTGACTGAGGAGGAGAGGAGAGGGGAGAGGTTCAGGTGTTCAGACCGGTGTTCAGGGTTAAGGGAGAGGGACCACTGTACTAGTTGTGACAGAATAATGAACTTGTTATGGGTTTTTAAAGCTTTTTACAGCAATCCTAGGCGAGTAACAAGCAAACTGTAACATAATGGTACCCTCTGTTGACGGTCTAAATGTGCACGCCATACTGACTTGTTTCCTGTAGGGAGTGATGATGCTAATGTCATTGGCAGCTACAGGATTGTAGAGCTTCTTGTCCAGCTGGCAGCAGTACAGCATCACCGGTACCACCTCTCCAGGTTTGAACCACGACGAGTTGTTGCCCTCCCTCATCTCTATGCCCTGAGAGAAGGAAAGATGACTGGCATTATTGGTGTTCGACGTCCAAGCTCGGTGCCGACCAGATAGGAAAACCTGCATTTGTCCAAATGTTCTCAACATGTCAGTGGGAAGGGAGGAGAGAAAACGCTGATGTTGAGAAATGGGAGAACAGAGGACAGGACGAAGACACAAGGATTCAAGGAAAGACTATTGAGAAAGATCCCATTGTTTTGTTTCTATTTTGGACAGAGAAAGACAACGAGAGAGCGAGAGAAACAAATAGAGCCCTCACCCTGACTCCATTGAAGATGAGGGGGAATCCCTTGGTGGGCAGACGGCTCCAGTGACAGAGGGAGTCCACTACGGCCCTCTGGGCCCAGACACACTGCTGCCCCACTGTAGAACAGTCTAGAGGGCAGGGCCAGGAGGGCCTCATGGGAACGGTAGTTATACACCAGCTTGGTCACCTGGAGGAAGAAGAGAGGACACCATGAAAATGCAATAACCTGTGGAGACATCTATTTACAATGCGATCCTGTGTGGCTCAGTCGGTAGAGCATGGCGCTTGCAACGCCTAGGGTCGTGGGCTCGATTTCCGCTGGGGCCACCCATAGGTACTGTAAGTCGCTTTGGATAAAGGCGTCTGTTAAATGGCACATATTATTATATTACAATGCAAGGCAAAACATTATGTAGAAAAAGATGCATCATCTATATTCAGTTGGTGGACTCACTATGCATGATTTTGATGATCATGGCACTGACAGGGAGAGTGTGTGTGTGTATGTGAGTACTCACCACCATTGGGTTGTATCCCCGTTCTCTTTGGTGTACAGGGAGTTGGCCATCAGTCTCTTCAGCAGGGACACCCCAAGGCCGAACGCCTGCGCCAGTGTGGACTTCACAATTGGACCCAGCTGCCGGAGGTCTCCAGCCAGAACTATGTGAAAGGTGGGGGTAGCAACAGAAAATACAGTGTCATTTATGATTTCTGTCAGTTATGTGATGTGCAATGTTTTTCCAACGGTTGCGCCACCTTAGTAAGGGCGTTCCAGGTTTTATTGTGGTTGTAGTGTACTCTGTTTAGTCTAACCTGTCTGTCTCTCTCTGACAGAAGCCCTAGGGGATCAATGCCTCTGGCTCCGTGACTTGGCCAGCCTCATCCAGAAAACAACAACGTTCATTAGTTTACTACACATTGTATTGTGAGAACCCATACCAAACATATTCCCCTAAGGAGACTGAAAAGATTTGGCATGGGTCCTCAGATCCTCAAAAGATTCTACAGCTGCACCATCGAGAGCATCCTGACTGGTTGCATCACTGCCTGGTATGGCAACTGCTCGGCCTCCGACCACAAGGCACTACAGAGGGTAGTGCGTACGGTCCAGTACATCACTGGGGCCAAGCTTCCTGCCATCCAGGACCTCTATACCAGGCGGTGTCAGAGGGAGGCCTTAAAAATGGTCAAAAACTCCAGCCACCCTAGTCATAGACTGTTCTCTCTGCTACCGCACGGCAAGTGGTACCGGAGTGCCAAGTCTAGGTCCAAGAGGCTTCTAAACAGCTTCTACCCTCAAGCCATAAGACTCCTGAACATTTACAAGCATCTAGTCAAATGGCTACCCAGACTATTTGTTCCATTAAAAAATGAGGGAGGTTACCAATGGCCCAGTGCAGTCAAAAATGTGATTTTCCTGTGTTTTATATACAGTGAGGGAAAAAGGTATTTGATCCCCTGCTTATTTTGTACGTTTGCCCACTGACAAAGAAATGATGTCTATAATTTTAATGGTAGGTTTATTTGAACAGTGAGACAGAATAACAACAAAAAAATCCAGAAAAACGCATGTCAAAAATGTTATAAATTGATTTGCATTTTAATGAGGGAAATAAGTATTTGACCCCTCTGCAAAACATGACTTAGTACTTGGTGGCAAAACCCTTGTTGGCAATCACAGAGGTCAGACATTTCTTGTAGTTGGCCACCAGGTTTGCACACATCTCAGGAGGGATTTTGTCCCACTCCTCTTTGCAGATCCTCTCCAAGTCATTAAGGTTTCGAGGCTGACGTTTGGCAACTCGAACCTTCAGCTCCCTCCACAGATTTTCTATGGGATTAAGGTCTGGAGACTGGCTAGGCCACTCCAGGACCTTAATGTGCTTCTTCTTGAGCCACTCCTTTGTTGCCTTGGCCGTGTGTTTTGGGTCATTGTCATGCTGGAATACCCATCCACGGCCCATTTTCAATGTCCTGGCTGAGGGAAGGAGGTTCTCACCCAAGATTTGATGGTACATGGCCCCGTCCATCGTCCCTTTGATGCGGTGAAGTTGTCCTGTCATCCTTATCAGAAAAACACCCCCAAAGCATAATGTTTCCACCTCCATGTTTGACGGTGGGGATGGTGTTCTTGGGGACATAGGCAGCATTCCTCCTCCTCCAAACACGGCGAGTTGAGTTGATGCCAAAGAGCTCCATTTTGGTCTCATCTGACCACAACAGTTTCACCCAGTTCTCCTCTGAATCATTCAGATGTTCATTGGCAAACTTCAGACGGGCATGTATATGTGCTTTCTTGAGCAGGGGGACCTTGCGGGCGCTGCAGGATTTCATTCCTTCACGGCGTAGTGTGTTACCAATTGTTTTCTTGGTGACTATGGTCCCAGCTGCCTTTAGATCATTGACAAGATCCTCCCGTGTAGTTCTGGGCTGATTCCTCACCGTTCTCATGATCATTGCAACTCCACGAGGTGAGATCTTGCATGGAGCCCCAGGCCGAGGGAGATTGACAGTGCTTTTGTGTTTCTTCCATTTGCGAATAATCGCACCAACTGTTGTCACCTTCTCACCAAGGTGCTTCGCGATGGTCTTGTAGCCCATTCCAGCCTTGTGTAGGTCTACAATCTTGTCCCTGACATCCTTGGAGAGCTCTTTGGTCTTGGCCATGGTGGAGAGTTTAGAATCTGATTGATTGATTGCTTCTGTGGACAGGTGTCTTTTATACAGGTAACAAGCTGAGATTAGGAGCACTCCCTTTAAGAGTGTGCTCCTAATCTCAGCTCATTACCTGTATAAAAGACACCTGGGAGCCAGAAATCTTTCTGATTGAGAGGGGGTCAAATACTTATTTCCCTCATTAAAATGCAAATCAATTTATAACATTTTTGACATGCGTTTTTCTGTTATTTTTATTTTTATTCTGTCTCGCACTGTTCAAATAAACCTACCATTAAAATTATAGACTGATCATTTCCTTGTCAGTGGGCAAACGTACAAAATCAGCAGGGGATCAAATACTTTTTTCCCTCAATGTATATTTCCACACTATGAGGTTGGAATAATACGTGAAATTGTGAAAATGATGATAATGCCGTTTTAGTGTAAGAGCCGTTTGAAAAGACGGCCTAAAATTTCAGCCTGTTTTGATGGGATGGAGTTTAGTTAATAGACCAATAGACCAAACCTGCCAATAACAGCTAGTTTTCCGTTTTCCCTCCCCACTCAGACCACTCCCCGACAGTCCTAGCAAAATTCTTGCTTGAGAAATTGCTCTTTGCTAAGACCATTTTAATTGAAAACAATCACAGTAAGGTACTTAACTTTTACCCAGAAATGATTTGATACTGAGATAAAAATGGCTGCATTGGACCTTTAACATAAAGGAGCCTTGTTATCTTCTTGTCCCTTACCGCAGCCCATTCTGGTAGAACATGCCAGTGCTGGAACAGGTGCTGACCACAATCCTGTGGAAGGAAGCATGTCAGATGTCCTTCCCAGCCCGAGATTACTGCCTTATAACCTCAGGGATGGCCTACAGGAGATACAGACAGAGGCACAAACTGGTAGAGAAAATAGGATTGAGGCGGCGGCGGTGGGTGCAGTACCTCTTCATGTCAACAGGAGGCGTTGACGCGGGCCAGGCTGGCAGCGTGCAGGAACCCACTGTCATGGAGCTGGATACAGATGAGGTCAGCAGCACTGTCGGAGGGAGTGCACACAAGAACATAACTACTGGGCAGGCGGTGATATACCTACAGTATGGGAGCAATAGGATACATTTCACTGTTTATCCTGGGAACTAGAATGGAGGGCAACTGTTGTAAATAACCAAATACAACCAATCACAAGAAACTTGACTGAGCTTGTCAGATGCAATGGAATCAATGGAATATAGTAAACGTGCAACTCCTGCTCATCTGGCACTCCAGGCAGGGCAGGCTGAACCAAACAGTCATAGTATTTGAATGAAAACAAATACTATTTGAACACAGGTCTGGTTGTCAAAGCTCTTCTCTGTCCTTGCACCCCAATGGTGGAACGAGCTTCCCCCTGATGCTAGGACAGCAGAGTCCCTGCCCATCTTCCGAAAACATCTGAAACCCTACCTCTTTGAAAAGTATCTTAAATAAGACATCTCATTCTTATCCCCCCATTTAAAACATCTAAACCTTGCACTTGTCTTTTCCTACTAGCACTGACTTTGCTGATCACTTCTTTGTTGAGGAAAATGTACTACGACAGTGATATGTGGTTGTCTCACCTAGCTATCTTAAGATGAATGCACTTACTAAGTCGCTCTGGATAAGTGTCTTTTAAATGACTAAAATGTAAATGTAAAAGGTTGTGATATCCATTGGGTTGAGAAGTGTACAGTACAGTACCTGTCCCTGAGGGTCCAAACAGGATGTACTGGGTGGGCTGGCACACCCTTGCCAGGATATGCTTCACTGCCTCCCTCTGAGACAGGTTCAGCTGCTGGTTGAAGACCTGCCCTGGAATTGGGATGGGCTTAGATGGCAGCCTGGAATCTGAGAGGATGAAAGAGGCTCAATTCTCATTCCCCTCATTGATCAGTCTCACAAAGGTACTGAACTGTCCTAGTTGATGCTATTTATGTTCATGGCACTTCAGTAGCTGTAGTGTATAGAGAATCTGTGCTGTCAGCAGTGGCAATTTTAGCATGTAAATCTTGGTGGGGCAAAGAAAATGTGGGATGCATGCCAGCAAAGCCACTACACAACACTAAACAATACAATAATTGCACTATAACAGTGACAAACAGTGCCCACAAACTGTTAGGGCCTACATAAAGCTGTCCCAACAGCAGAGTCCCAACAGCAGTCCCAACACTTTACCACTGCTACACCTGGCTATCAGCGGAGCCTTGTATGGCAGTGAAACAGTTCATTCAGCCTCATTTACTGCCTTAAAAAAAACATAGCTGATATGGCTGACTTGCTTAAACAAATGTGGTTTCTACTGACAATTGAGATGTACAAACTATGGCATAAGGGGACGACAAGCGTATAAGAGGCAATCAGTAATTTCGATTAAGACATTAATGAGCGAGCTAGGACGGACGTAGTCAATATAACTATTTGTTTAGCAGTTTTGAAATGTACAGCGACAGAATTCAGAACATGGGCCATTCTTACAGTGTTCTCTCTGTACACCAAGTCAGAACCGTAGGATAAATAAAGGGGGCATATAAGCAGACAATGAAAGCTCTTACAATATTCAATGATTACATTTCTCTAAAACAGGTTATAGGCTACACGTGCACCACCAAGTCAGAACACAGTGGGCGAAATTAAGAGGGGAAAATAGACCAAATTATTAGGGTGAGGCACATAGGCTACTAACAGCTTACTACATTTACATTTACATCATTTAGCAGACACTCTTATCCAGAGCGACTTACTAATTGGTGCATTCAACTTATGATAGCCAGTGGGACAACCACTTACTTTATTTATTTATTTATTTTTGGGGGTCTCCGGAAGTGTCTCCGGAAGGTGGTCAGTGACTCCTCTGTCCTGGCGTCGTGGGGGAGCTTGTTCCACCATTGGGGTGCCAGAGCAGCGAATAGCTTTGACTGGGCTGAGCGGGAACTGTGCTTCCGTAGAGGTAGGGGAGCTAGCAGGCCATAGGTGGATGAACGTTGTGCCCTCGTTTGGGTGTAGGGTCTGATCAGAGCCTGAAGGTAAGGAGGTGCTGTTCCCCTCACAGCTCCGTAGGCAACTACCATGGTCTTGTAGTAGACGCAAGCCTCAACTGGAAGCCAGTGGAGTGTGTGGAGGAGCGGGGTGACATGAGAGAACCTGGGAAGGTTGAACACCAGACGGGCTGCAGTGTTCTGGATAAGTTGAAGGGGTTTAATGGCACAGGCAGGGAGCCCAGCCAACAGCGAGTTGCAGTAATCCAGACGGGAGATGACAAGTGCCTGGATTAGGACCTGTGCCGCTTTCTGTGTAAGGTAGGGTCGTACTCTGCGAATGTTGTAGAGCATGAACCTGCAGGAACGGGTCACCGCTTTGATGTTAGTGGAGAACGACAGGGTATTGTCCAGGGTCACGCCAAGGTTCTTTGCACTCTGGGAGGAGGACAAAATGGAGTTGTCAACCGTGATGGCGAGATCATGGAGCGGGCAGTCCTTCTTCGGGAGGAAGAGCAGCTCCGTCTTGCCGAGGTTCAGCTTGAGGTGGTGATCCGACATCCACACTGATATGTCTGCCAGACATGCAGAGATGCGATTCGCCACCTGGTTATCAGAAGGAAAAGGAGAAAATTAATTGTGTGTCATCTGCGTAGCAATGATAGGAGAGACCGTGTGAGGATATGACAGAGCCAAGTGACTTGGTGTATAGAGAGAATAGGAGAGGGCCTAGAACTGAGCCCTGGGGGACACCAGTGGTGAGAGCACGTGGTGCTGAGACAGATTCTCGCCACGCCACCTGGTAGGAGCGACCTGTCAGGTAGGACGCAATCCAAGAGTGAGCAGTGCCGGAGATGCCCAACTCGGAGAGGGTGGAGAGGAGGATCTGATGGTTCACAGTATCAAAGGCAGCAAATAGGTCTAGAAGGATAAGAGCATACACTTAGTATTACTTTCTTAGCTACAGTATACATATCTCCCTGGCATATTACATCATTTATACAGCAGCATACAATACATTTTTGGACTCACCTTGTGGTGCTGTGCTCACTTGAACAGGAAGGTGGCACAGTGGTCCTTCATGGGCATATTTTGTCATCAAAGTCTGGCATTCTCTGGATTTATGGTGCTTTCAAGACAACTGGGAACTCTGAAAAAAACAAGGTTGAATCATGATGACGTCAGTGATCTTCAGGTTGTAGCTCTAGAAAGAGCCCCGAATTCCAGATTTACAATTCTGAGTTGGATGACCATTCAAAACGTATTTTCCCAGTCGGAGCTCGTTTTTTCCCCGAGTTCCCAGTTGTCTTGAACTCACTGAAGTCAAGTTTTTGCAGTTCCGAGTTAACAGTTGTTTTGAGCGCGGCACAAATCATGCTTCATTGTCAGCATGGCCAATGTTGAATGTTTATCGTTTTAAACTTGGAAAAGAGACCCTTAATCCCAGATTTGGGACCACACAGCCACTCCACTGAATAGCAGGCTAGTGATTGCTTTGCAATGCTTGCAGTTAGCCACTGATTCCTTCCAAACCACTCATTGTTCAATTTGCGATTTCCAACTTGTTGTGTAATGTTGATGTCCGATTGCCGATGAGCACCGATACGTTTTATCTATAATTGCTCTTCATTAGACAAAGATTAAAAAGGATTTGCCAGTAGATTGTCGACTTGATTCATGATGATGACTGCTAGCTAAGATTTTGAAAGTATGATGTTGACATGATCAGTCCAATCAAAGCTACTGTAGATATAACGTGATTTGACATAATCTTATCTGTGGCCAATGACCTTCAGTCTTCTTGGATGGGCACTTCTAATGTAACTCTATGGCAGCACCCAAGGGGCTCTGCCCCACCTGCCCTGAATGACGGGTCGCCACTGGCTGTCAGAATGAAGGAGTCCCAATGCTTCAATCACCTGGTTTGGTTTGTGTGGCCTTTGAGACCATGTCAACAGAAATGCTTGATAGGGTCCCCTCTTTTATCTCCTCGTCTGACTTCTCTGGCCCCCACTCACCCGTCCATAGAGTGGCCTGAAGCATCACGGCTGTGGGGAAGAACACTGGGAAGAGGAGAGAACGCACAATAAGGGATGGACCAGACCAGACAGCAGAGGAGGCTGGTGGGAAGAGTTATAGGAGGACGGGCTTATTGTAATGGCTGGAATGGAATAAATAGAACGATACCATACACATCAAACATAGGGAAACCACATGTTTGACTCCATTCCATAAATTCCATTCCAGCCATTTGAATGATCCTGTCCTCCTATAGCTCCTCCCACCAGCCTCCTCTGCCAGACAGGAAATAAAGTTATCTGGGTTGAGAAGAAGAAATAGTGAGATGAAATAATAAATACATTGGAAATGGGATTGAGAAGAAAATGCAACCCAAACTCACCACTCTCTCCTAAGTGCTTGGTCTGGTCGAGCTCTAAGTGACATCGCCTCATGGTCAACACAAATATTAATATTCATAATCCATATACTGTCAAACCTTCACTTTCTCTATGCTAGAGGAACAGAGATCAACACTTATGTACTGACACAGTAAGGATCCTTCCCGAGAACTAGGGTTGTGACAAATGAAAACATTTCTTAGCATTTAAACTGCACTTTTTTTTATTGTTTAAACAAAAGCATTAAATGACGTGAATTCACAATTCAGATATGGTTCTGCTAGGGGGCAATGCAGTTCAGTCTACCTCCGTTTTGGCTATACCTACCGGTCGTCACTAGTTCCCACAGCCACAAAGTTATAAAGGCTGCCTTTTTCTACGATTTCTCTTCTTAAAATTTGATTTTAAACCTATCCCTAAACTTAACCACACTGCTGACCTCCTTATGCCTAACCCTAACCTTAAATTAAGACCAAAAATATACATTTTGTTTTCATTAATTTTTACGATATAGCCTATTTTGACTTTGTGGCTGTGGTAACTAGGGGAAACCCTACCAGACGGCGCTCACCTTACTGCTGTTCCCCACCTACTAAGCAACGATGGTTTTAATACCGTTTTAGGTTCTCTGTTGTGTGCCTCTCCTCCATGTTCTCAGTTGTCAGTACATGGGACTTCAGTCCCACTTCTCATCAATGTGATGGCTCGTTGCAGTGATGTATGACAGCGTGTTCAGAGACATCCAACAATCTGTTGTTAATGCCACATATGGTGTTTGAGAGCTCTTGCTTTGTACTTGCTGAGCAACCATTGTACAATTTCTCCATCAGGGCTGTCACGGTTTTTCGACATGGCATCTTGTAGTCTGGTTCTAGATATGCCTTTATGGTATTGACAATGGCTGTATATCAACTACAATCATTTTTGTAATCAGCACTGATTTTCTCACTCCATCCCTTATCGCACTGCTTCCATCAACGGGTTGGGTCGCATGGTGCCTCCCTTTCAGCATTGCACCTGTACTGCCACTGTAGCTCAATTCAACCTCGCAAAGTTTGCATTTCATCACCTTCTCATTTAACTTCTCAAAGTATTGTCATACAGGACTTTGATGCTGTCTCTTTCCTGTCTCACTCTTCCATGTTTCCAACTGTTAATGACGATGACGTGCGGATCGCTTTATGTCCGTGGCAAATAATTTGAAAGATGCATATCTCCTCCTACTAACGTTACAACAACAAAAATAAAAAAGTTTTTTTGGTTAGGGATTTTTTCTAAACGTTAATGATCCCAATGTCGTTTAAACGTTCACACCCCTACCCAGAACCAGGAAGGTACCTGTTGAAGGTGAACTCCACGTCTAGAGGCTCTCCCAGGTAGCCATGCTGAAACTCAGTGTTCACCCTCAGACTCACTTCCTCATCATTGATCTGTGGATATGGGCCACAAACAGTGTTCAGGTCAATGTGAACAAAGCAGGAGAAGAAACATCAGAGCTGCGAGCAAAATACTAAGAAGATCAAAACCTCAGAATACCCGATGTACTCCATCACCACACCTCCACTGATTGGCTTCTTCATTGAGCAGACCAAACACTGTATAAAATGTATCAATTCAAGTACATGTATTGTGCTACAATAGGGACATGTAGCAGCTATAGCCATAATTATAGGACTAAACACATACCAATGAAGAGGCCTGCCCTCAGCTAGGCCCAGCACCTCCAGGTTAAGGTAGACAACTCCTCTCCTGAGGAGGGCTCCAGTGATCCTGAACTCCCTCAGCTCCCTCTCAGCCTGCAGCTCCTCCAGCCACAGCAGGAACGAGAAACGGAAACGCACGTTAGCCGCCGACAGAGTCTGGCAGAGAGAGACTGAGGGGGAGGGGGGGGGGGGGAGAGAGAGAGAAGCTGATCTGGTGTTCCCCTAGATTATTTTCCAGTAGAAGTGCAAAGGCCTCCATATCAAAATCAAGAGCCTCCCAATAAGATTGTTTAATTGAAACCAATCAGAGCCAAATTCCTGTAGGCAGGTGGCAATAAAGCCTTCCATTGATGATAGAAGACTTGAGCCAACTTGATTCTCCCTTACCTCTCCTAGACATGGCTCGGCCACCAGAACATCATACAGTCCCATAGAGCTTGGGGCACGGGGTAGTTACCCAGGAAGTTAGGTAGGTGGCCTGTGAAATACAAAATAAGAAGTCATAGGCTAGTGACTTTATCTAGCTACACAGGAGAGAGGTGTAATTCAACAATGTGGACCAAACTGTCATCATTCAACATGTCCAACAAGGGTACAGTAACTAGGATAGGGGGGGGGGAAGCATTTCTGATTATACAGAACGTTGGTGGACAGTGTAATCAAGATTATCTTTATTCCATAGGGAAATGTGGTTAGTAGGCCGAACATACTGTACTTCATTACAAAGTACAGAACAGAGACAGTGAGGTGGATGTGAAGCCATCACAGTGACCACCTGGGCAGCCTGAGGAGGGGGCAGTGGGGCTGCCGGGCAGTAGGGAGCCAATGGCTGGAGAACACTCTCCTCTTTACTGCCTACTGTGACCGAAAGGCGCCTCCCGATGGTGAAAGAGGGGAAGTGCAGCAGCAGCTCTGCACAACGCCTCAAGTTCCTAGAGTAGGATGGAGGGACACAAATCATTGTTTCAAAAACCTGAATGTCCATAAGAAATTGATTCAGTCAGATAATAGCTCAGTTGGTAGAGCATGGCATTTGCAATGCCAGGGTTGTGGGTTCGATTCCCACGGGGGGCCAGTATGAAAATGTATGCACTCACTAACTGTAAGTCGCTCTGGATAAGAGCGTCTGCTAAATGACAAAAATGTAAGAGAGCATTATACATGTGATGCCACCAGAAATTGATGACTGTAGCAGATTTATGTTGTAGTGGCTAGCTAAGCATGACTTAATTGGCTCGGCAGCCCACTTTCACAGATAACTTCTCCCCTGGTACGATCTCCACATCTCTCTCCTCTGTTTGTACGGCAGGCTTGTGAACAGTGTCCTGATGAGCCTCGCCATTCTCTACAACCACATCTCCATCGATCTCGCTCATCTCCTTCCCAACACTATTGAGCAGTGCAGTAGGCCCAGTAGACCTAGAGGCCCGGGAAGCCTGGACCGGGGCTAGACAGGGCCCACTATGGGGGTGCGCTTTCCGGATAGGCCCTGAATACTCCCATATAGGATCTGTGTTAGAGCAGGGTGCTGTAGGACTCCATTTCTTTGTACCGGTGGGTCTGTCACAGTACCTAGGGTGAACTGCTCCTCTGTTCAGTCTATGGGTCTCTGAGTCTTGGTTCCTGTCAATAGAAAATGTATATGTGCCATGATTTGGTGGATAAAACTCACAATAAAATGATATTCAGCAACTCTTGGTAGGACAATGGTGCTACAAAAGGTGCTTAAATGTTATTAAAATCAACACATCAGGGTATTTACAGATTTACAGGGTGGTTCTATGTCATTTAAGACAGGTAGACACTGTATGAATGCTGCCAGTACTAGGTCAATCCCAGAGGCGGAAATCAATAGTCTCCTGGAGGACAAGGGGGACCTGGTGGTCAGCGACAAGACCACCAGCTCCCGGCTCTCTCCCAGTCCCGAAGTGTCTCTTGTCGCTGACCACCAGGTCCCCTTGTCCTCCAGGAGACTATTGATTTCCGCCTCTGGGATTGACCTAGTCCTGGCAGCATTCATACTGTCAGAGGAAAAAGGCTAGAGTAAAGGTGGAGGTTAGTGGCCGAGTCATAATTCATTATCAGCCTTTAAAGTGGCAAACTGCAGTTACATTTTTGTAAGAAAAAAATTATGTATACAGTTTACAGTAGGTATAAAAGGTGCGGTGAAATGCTTTCGTGTTAGCTCCCTCAACATTGCAGTACAATATCAATAGTAGTCAAAAATCTATCAAAAATAACAAGTAATTAGGGGAGGTAATGTATAGTAACACAACTGATATGTACACAATACGATATACAGCATCAATTATTAATGTGCTATGTATGACTGTGTTACAAAAGTTCAAACAATAACAAAGTGGCAACCCCGCCACTGTTTTGGTAGAAAGCTGAGGGTATAGACAAATCGCTGGATGTAAGGACTGACCATCCATGATATAAATATTTGTTTGAACCATGTTGAGCTATACAGTGTTTGTTCACATTTACAAATGCTACATCCAAAAATGGATGTAGCATTCCTCTCCGCATTCTTCTCCACCTGAGGGACAAGAACGCAGACTAAACAGGAGGCAAAATGACAAATAACGGATGTGTCGGAATACACTTCAACAGCCTCCTGTCCTCCTAGTCTCTAGTCATTGACAACTGGTGATTTGAAGTGTCCCATGCCTGTTGTGAGGAATTTTGTTGAAACCTATAGCCTAGTCATTTCATCTGTTTATGGTAAGGAAGGACAGGATACAGGGTATGGAAAGTAATCAGACACAGACAAGGACTCATCTTCATACATAACAAAACATACTGGTAAAAGTGAGGCCTTGGTCAAAGTGTCTCACCCTCAGTGCTCTCAACCCTCCTTGGGCATGATCTCGTACTGCCAGGCCATTGACGGCATCCCCGACCCTGAGCGGCACCCTTCCTAGCACCTCTCCAGTGGTGAAGTAGACGGCGTCGTCGATCATTCCGTAGTCATGGCACAGCAGAGTAACCACGCCGCAGCGCAGGTGTCGGATCTCCTCCATCGCTGACACACAAAAGAACAATGACTGATCATTGCATTACAGACATTGGATTGAAAAGCATAATTGTCAAGGGTTTTGTGGAAATCATTTGGAGGTTTTTGACACAAAAGTACTTCAATTCCTTTGATAACAGGTGGGTCGTAGATGCTGGCGGTGTTGGATCTCTCTTTTATTCTGGGATTCATAGCATTAATTTGCTGTTGACTGAAACATGACAGGTGCATTGAGAAGCTGTCAGGCTGCTTGGTGAGCTCATGTGTAGAATTACCTGCCCCATAGAACCCATTCTCTTCATCCTCCTCTACCTTCCTCTCACACTCCACTGCTGTTACCATGTCTGCAAATAGAGCCCCACAGTGGAGGTGTCATAATACCCATAAAACCTAGCGGTCAAACAGGGAAATGGTTCCAATCGCTTTTACACCATTCATTTTCCCATAGGGGATGTTAGAAACACTTAAAATAAAGGCTGTGTTTCGTGTAAGCATACCCTGGCATGACGTTTTGATAACCATGTAAATATCTCTCGGACAAGGTAATTTTGATCAATATATTCGGCTTTATTTACTCTCATATTCGAAAATGCTCATTAGCATCAAAGCAGACATTTACATTTACATCATTTAGCAGACGCTCTTATCCAGAGCGACTTACAGTTAGTGAGTGCATACAGTGAGGGAAAAAAGTATTTGATCCCCTGCTGATTTTGTAAGTTTGCCCACTGACAAAGAAATTATCAGTCTTTTTTAGACCAAAGAAATGTAGACCAAAGATCTCTCCAAGGATGTCAGGGACAAGATTGTAGACCTACACAAGGCTGGAATGGGCTACAAGACCATCGCCAAGCAGCTTGGTGAGAAGGTGACAACAGTTGGTGCGATTATTTGCAAATGGAAGAAACACAAAATAACTGTCAATCTCCCTCGGCCTGGGGCTCCATGCAAGATCTCACCTCGTGGAGTTGCAATGATCATGAGAACGGTGAGGAAATCAGCCCAGAACTACACGGGAGGATCTTGTCAATGATCTCAAGGCAGCTGGGACCATAGTCACCAAGAAAACAATTGGTAACACACTACGCCGTGAAGGACTGAAATCCTGCAGCGCCCGCAAGGTCCCCCTGCTCAAGAAAGCACATATACAGGGCCGTCTGAAGTTTGCCAATGAACATCTGAATGATTCAGAGGAGAACTGGGTGAAAGTGTTGTGGTCAGATGAGACCAAAATGGAGCTCTTTGGCATCAACTCAACTCGCCGTGTTTAGAGGAGGAGGAATGCTGCCTATGACCCCAAGAACACCATCCCCACCGTCAAACATGGAGGTGGAAACATTATGCTTTGGGGGTGTTTTTTTGCTAAGGGGACAGGAAAACTTCACCACATCAAAGGGACGATGGATGGGGCCATGTACCGTCAAATCTTGGGTGAGAAACCTCATTCCCTCAGCCAGGGCATTGGAAATGGGTTTGTGGATGGGTATTCCAGCATGATAATGACCCAAAACACACGGCCAAGGCAAAAAAGGAGTGGCTCAAGAAGAAGCACATTAAGGTCCTGGAGTGGCCTAGCCAGTCTCCAGACCTTAATCCCATAGATAATCTTGGAGAGGATCTGCAAAGAGGAGGGGACAAAATCCCTCCTGAGGTGTGTGCAAAACTGGGTGGCCAACTACAAGAAACGTCTGACCTCTGTGATTGCCAACAAGGGTTTTGCCACCAAGTACTAAGTCATGTTTTGCAGAGGGGTCAAATACTTATTTCCCTCATTAAAATGCAAATCAATTTATAACATTTTTGACATGCGTCTTTCTGGATTTTTTTGTTGTTATTCTGTCTCTCACTGTTCAAATAAACCTACCATTAAAATTATAGACTGATCATGTCTTTGTCAGTGGGCAAACGTACAAAATCAGCAGGGGATCAAATACTTTTTTCCCTCACTGTAACTGATCAACAATTATAGGTACAAGCTAATAACAAGGTATATATGCTATCTTATTGAACAAGCAACTTAACTCAAATAATGATGTGTGCGCTAGTCATCTCTCTCCAGCTCTCTCCAGGTTGTTGTGCTGCTTGGCTGGCCTGCTGCTGCCTGTGCACGAGCTGAGCGCCTGCTGCTGACGTCACTCACAATGCACTTTTGCAGCCAGGCACGTGTGTTGTGACTGCGTGTGTGACAGAGAAAGTCGTTTTTGTGTCATTTAGGGGGAAAATGCATGCATTTTAGCGTTTGAGTCACTTTTCAAAAGTTGCTAAAAGTTCCAAATACATTTTTAAAAGTAGCTAAATTTGTTGCTAGGTGCTGTTTGAAAGAAATGTTGCCAAGATAGTCTGAAAAGCTGCTAAATCTAGCAACAAAATTGCATTACTGATTATTACTATCTAACAGCAGTTAGAATGGAAATGTTTTGTAGCCTTTGTTTTGTGCCGTTTCAACAGAAGTAAATTAACTTGACTAGCTTTCGCCATTTGATGTACCGTTACAGTAGAGAGAGAGAGCTGGCCAAAAGTTGGCTAACGTTAGCTATTCTTTTTGCCTCAATCACACTGGACCTGAATCAAACAATGAAACCATCAGCCAAACGATTTGAATATTGATATTCTGACGTTTATTTCAGTGCAATGTGAGTTTTTATTAGTCAGTATGGCAATGTAATGTTTTTGATCAGTCAGTTTCCCTAGCTAATTCCCTACTTTTCACAGTGACACATTAATAAACAGCTCTAACGTTACAGGCTTCATTGTCATGGTGCAAAGTAGAGGTCTGCACAGGACTCATTTCTTCATCCTGCTCCTACCAGCACCTGCTGGCTTTCTGTCCGACTCCCACCCACTGGTCCCAAACCCAACCGCAGTCCCGCAGTCCCCGCAATGTTATTTTAGGTGTATGTGACGCAGCTCACTTGCCAGCCATGGTCCCAGCAATCTTGCAGTAGGCAGTATCAAATGCGCAAAAATAACTTAAGAAATAGTTTAAATTACCAGATATTTTCACATTGGTCCTTATATCTGTATTACTGGGCCATGTCAGCCAATATGCTAGCTGTAGTTTGAAGAGAGCGGAATATGAGAGACTTGCACTTTTTCTTGAGCAATTTATATAGTCTACCTTTTAGGAGTGGGAAGATTTTCAGACAGAGAAATATGGGTGATCAGTATTTATGTCTGTTTCTAGGCAATGTAGTAAAGTATTTAGGAAGTATATTTCCTTGGAAAGATAACTTCCCCATGTTTCTCCGCCCATCCATATGCTATAACCTTCTATTTAATTGAGACCACGCGTGCTCCTGATCTCGCAGGTATGGCTACTGAACTTGAGGCAGCAAGAATGATGACAGTGATACTTGCTACGTTTTGCATAGCATATAGGATGTAGCCTACCTTTTAGGAGGACAATTTGCAGGCAGAGACAAATAAATGGGTAATCAATACTTATTGAAAATGAAAAGGCGCAACACTCGTTCACCATAGTAACCTATGTGCTTGTTGTGCCTTTTCCTTTTCAATGATGATAAGATGTTTTGATTGCACTTCGACTCACGTTGGTTGAGTAAACTACAGTCTAATCATATTTAAGTTAATTTCGTATTTACGTTATCTGCCACGTGATTCTTCGCTCATGTAGACAGCCTACTCTATTTCAATGAGACCACACATACTAGGCGCACTTGAAAACTCACGCCCAACTAGGAGAGGTATGCTACTGAAGTTGAAGCAGCGAATTCTGAGTGTTTGAATAATGCGAAAAATATGTGCTTTTAATACAATAGGTAGGCTAACACATACAAAGCAGAAAGAGGACCATTTCCAAATAATCTGTGGGATGACAAAAATATCCTCTGTCTGACCGCCCGCAGCTTGAAAAATGCTGACCGAGCCTCAATGATCTCTCTAGGGACCCGCAGGTCCCTCAGCCATCCCACGGAAATGCAGCCCTGTAGTGCACAGTCAGTACACAACACTGCTCATCATGTCTTAGCAGGATCAGATGGCGACAGGGGTCCCAGCAGAGTCAGACAGCCAGGGAAGACCAGTCAACGGAGCTCAGATGAATTTTGCAGTATATTAACAATATCAGTGAATGATACAAAGTTCCATCTTGAATTGATGGGAAGACCTACTGGAGCTACAGGACAATAGTTTAAGCTTAAAGCTACAGTCTGGGATCTGGGAATAATGGTCACTTCAATGATTTAACCATTGATTCTATTCTTGGATAATATAATGTATAAATGTACACCAAGGTAATTCTTTGTCATGCTTTATCTTAGGAGAATCGGATGGTGACAGGGGTCTCAGCAGGGTCAGGCAGCTAGGGAAGACCAGTCTGTGACAGAGCTGAGGTGAATTTTTGCAGATACAACACTTTATTCTCTCTGTGCAGCAAACACTGGACAAGCCAGATGCTATTTTAAGGCAGTCGGACAAACCTCCAAAGTTGATTTCCAAACTGTATCAAGGGTTGATAGAGGCTTTTCCCGTGACACAATACATGTCAAACAAAAATGTTAGGAAGACCTGGTAGAAGCTATTGATGATGATGAATGGATACAGATATGTTTGAATGCCCATTCATTTAACATTTTAGTCATTTAGCAGACGCTCTTATCCAGAGCGACTTACAGTTAGTGAGTGCATAATTTTTTTTTTTTCATACTGGTCCCCCATGGGAAACGAACCCACAACCCTGGCGTTGCAAACGCCATGCTCTACCAACTGAGCTACACGGGACCATTCATGTTCATATCATCTCAGACATAAATTACTGCAGTTTAAGACCATCCATTGAAAGGAAAGGAAACTGAATTACATGCACTCAGAAATGTCATTCATCTGCTGGAGTTATAAAACACAAAAGGGGACATACAGTGCATTCGGAAAGTATTCAGACCCCTCGACTTTTTCCACATTTTGTTATGTTCCAGCCTTATTCTAAAATTGATTAAATAAATGTTTTTCCTTATCAATTTATACACAATACCCCATAATGACAAAGCA